AACCCTTGCAGGGTTCTCCAGAGAGGCAAGGAAGGTATGTCTTGGTGTGGGGGAGAAGGAGGAAGAGATGCCTGTGTTTCACACTCTAACCTTGTCAGAACTGTCACTGTTTATCCTCCTGTAAATGCAAGGAAGGTGCATGGAGTTCTGAGAACTAAAGAAAGGTCCACCCCAGCAGTCTGAGGCTGCTGAAGTATTTTAGGATACTAGGCTTGTTGTCTGCCACAGCCCAGGGCTATCATTAGCTGAGCTCTGGATGCTCTTCCAAAGAGGCTGAAAGGGAAAACCCTCCAGGAACTGCAGCAGAACAAACTCCCACCCAACAACAACAGCTCCTGGCGCCAGCTACACAGCTCTGTACCCCAGGGCAAGGGCTCCAAGTGCTCCAGCAGTTTGCACTTCCATGTCTGAGGCTGTGCCTCAGCTACAGCTGACCAAATACCTTCATTACAGAGGGAGAGGCTGCAGAGACTGACCAAGAAACCCAGCTGGGAGTTCAGCTTCTCCCTTTTTTTAGTTCTGATCACAAGTCCAGCTCAGATTAACATGAAACTGGCAGGAAAACATAGAGCATAGCTCTGAGCACAATAACCCAGGAAGGGCTTATAGGCAGAATATGTCAGAGGAATCCATGCAGCAGTTTCTAGGTGAACTTTTGCCTGCCTGGGAAAACTGAGGGAGCTGTGTTCTAGAACAATCTCATGGACAAGCCCATGAAACATCTCTATCTCTGAAACCTGTCACACAGTATTAAATTAAACTGAGAGGGCTGAAGGCAGTCTTCCTGCCCTCTGCCATCTGTCCACCTGGTTCCTCTCCTTCTGTAGGAAGAGCAGATAAATCCCACTCATATTTGCTCCTGGACTGTTGGAATTTACAGCCTGGCAGGGCCTTAAGTGAGAGGTGCTGTGTGAGCCAGCCCAGCTCTGGGGCTGGGAGCTCTGGAGTGCACAGACAGGTTCCCTGCAGCTTCCCTGCTGCCTCTGCTTCACAAGTTTGTGCAGCAGGACTGTAACTTACTCATCCTGATTTAAATTGTTGTCATGTCACACTTCAACACCACCAGTTGATGCTTGGCAGTCAGTCTGACTTACAGTGTGGCTGGATTGCACCTCCTCACTCAAGTGCTGTGTGGAGAAACTGCAAAGAGCTGAGGCTCTGCTCAAAGATGGATGCAGCAAGAATGATCAGGATAAGAGGGAGGCTGAAGTGAGAACTCAGTTCTCATTCCAAGGAGAGCTCAGGCATTTCTCATGTATCCTGCACTGAGATTTATAAATGCTTCTGTTTCTCTGGCACACTGGCCTCTGGGGAAAATGGCTTCTCAATTCAATTAAGCCCAAGAAAAGTGGAGGTAACAGAAGACACATTACTCTGGATGCCTGCCTGTTTGCTCATCCTGGTGTTTGGATAGGCACAGCACCAGTTGGCTGTTCCCTTATAGAATGATTAAATAATCCAACATCTGCCTCCTTTCTCAGTGTCAATACCTGCACAGGTCCAAGCTAAACCTTCCATACAGAATGGAATTTGTAGGCTTCAGAGATCCTTACAAGCAGACTCCAGGGAAACTGATTCTGTGCCTTGAAGGTAGACAAAGAGAGTATCTTGGGGAATTGCTGGCAGCAGGCTGTCTGTGGGGGTGACAGGCTTTGTCACTCACTCCTACTGTGTCCTGCTACAGCTCAGCACTCAAAATAGCAGCACTAGGCCTGCTCAGCTGGCTGTGAAATGCTGGACTGAGGGTGACCTTCTGCTCTGGTCAGTGCTGGCTCTGGGGAATGCATGCAGGACGTGTGGTGATGTTAACCCTGAACTCGAAGCCATCCATTCCCTGGCTAAGGTTTTCCAAACAACCTCAGCAGCTTCAAGGAAGTGGTTTGTGTTTTACAAAACCCATCTTCACATTAACTACCGCTTGAATTGTGAGGAGGAAAGATCTTGATTTGTACATAAACTCCCTGGAGTGCTGAGGAGGCTCCAGTACCTGCAGAGGGATCCACTCCAGCAGAAGGCAGCTCCACCAGAGCGCTGACAGAGCACAGGAGCTGCCAGACACCCAGGCCTGGATGGCCTGGGGCAGCTGCAGGCAGCAGATGCTGCTCCCTGGGAGGTGGGGGAACACCTGCCCGGGGTGCTTGGAGCTCTGAGATGAATTGGAGTCTCCTGAGCAGGCCCTCGCTGTGCCTGTCAGGGTCCAGTGTATTTATCCAAGCTGCAAACCCATTTCATCACCTCCCCTGCCAGGGCAAGAGGTAGAGGGATTAGCGTGAACTCTGATCATATAATAACAACATGGCAGCTGTAGGCAGCTAATAATCCACTGGGAGGATTAGCAAACTTAAAGTTGTCTAGCTCTGCATAATGGAAAGCTAAGAACAGCAGCTTCCCTGTTCTACCTACTGCATTTGCATTCTCTCCAGTGGAAGCATAGAACATGATGAGACAAGGCTTTCCAGTCTGTTATGAAATGGGATCTAATGTGTGACTAATGGAGTATTGCTGGCAATTCTACAAGCATCCATTCAGCCCAGAATATGGGTTTAAGCTTTACTAAGAGACTGCACCTCAAATACCTACTGCCAAAGAGCAGGTCACGATTTCAGCAGGCTGATGCTAAAACTTGTTATTTGAGGCTGTCTGGGAGTAATGTCCTGAAGTCTGCAGGCACAGTGCTCTGCTTGCACATGGAGAATCCCACTGATCCAAAATCCTGGTATCATTCACGTGTGACTGGCAAAAGAGCCCAGTACAAAACCCAGAACAGGGGTTTTGGAGCAGACTCATCACCTGGTGCTGCTCTCCTTAGGACCCTCCCAGGACATCTGGAGTCCTCAGCAGCTGGAAGCTTTTCCCCCAAGGCAGTTTTGGCACTTGTGTCCATTTACTGACGAGTAACCAGAGCAAGCAGCTCTGACACAGCCTGGGAAAGAGAGCTGTGACTCCTCATCCTCCTCCCTGCTCGCTCTGGAGCAGCACAAGCAGTGAGTAAGAGCCCTCCTGAGCCGTGGGCTGGCTCCAACAGCACCAGGACGGCTCCCACTCCTCCCATGGCACAGGGAGAACAGGGAATGCTCTGCTGGGGCTTGTACTGCACAACTTTTCTCTTCTGCTCCAGTGGAGAATTCCAGTGGAACACTGGAGTGCACAAAGGATGAAAGCTTCACCACGACATGCCCCTGCCAACACTTGGCAGGGCTGTGGGACCTTACTCACTCTTGCACTGCAAACAGGCACTGCCACTCACAATAACATAGGAACAAAATACTCATTTCCCCCAAGAGCTTCTTCCACTGTTTCCTCCCAGTTGTAACTGGTGCTGCTGAGAGTCCATGGGAAAAAACTCTGGTACAGACAAGGCCTCTGCATGCAAATGAATGCTACATAAATAACCCCCATCTTCCCTCAGTTCCTAGGTTGGGTACTCTGTGCACCAGAATTCTCTTCAAAGACCTCCCAGTTCATTCTTTATGCTCTAATTAAGGATCAGTGCCAATTAACTATCTTCAATAGAGGAGCATCTTCCGCTCAGCAGCCAGGAAGTGTCTGAATAAGATCCTGCTGTACAATGTGCACATGAAAAGGGAAGCCCTCCCTTTTTGGAATAGGCTTCCAAGATTAAAAACTCAGTATAGATTACTGCATGCCTACTTTAAAAATGCTGTGTGACAAGATTAAGTGACGGCACCCAGGAATGCAGAATGGGTTTTTCACATGTTTCTTGTGGTACTCAAGGATGCTATTGCACTGCCAAGGCTCTGAGCTAGGTACCACTGTGGCAATAGCAGGTGTGAAAACAGAATGTGACACTTTATTTTGAGTGATATTAAAATACTGTTTGCTTTTTCTTACAAGGGTGTCATAGATCAGCAGAAGTGCAGTGTCAAATCTGATGATAAATATTGATTGAGATGAAAAATTGCCAATAATTATCCCAGCACCTGAACTGCCCAGGTAGTCCTCACCTATTGCTTTTACTTCCTACAGATATTCACCTGTTCCATAAATAACCAGGCAATTTAGACTGCTGCTGAGCTGTGTTCTGAGCAAGAGCTGTGCTAATAGTCTGAGCAGGCAAAGGGAGGGGAATGTCATTTCTAAGCTTGGCTGGAGATGAATACATCAGCTCCCCAGCCAGTTACAGGCTAAGTTTAAAAAACACTATTCTAAAGGAAAATTAGATGGTTAAACAGTGTGGGGGAAGGGGGGGAAATAGGATAATCCCTTCAAAGCTTTAAATGGAAGATTCTCAAACTTGCTTCAGCTGATGTGAGACATATGAACAGCCTCAGAATTAAGACCCCTGCAAAATTTCAGCCAGACACAACAGCTGCACTGCCTTTTGGGGGAGATGCACTTGAACTGGTTATACACGAAGCAGATGTAAGCCACCCAACCCTGCTAATCACAGCTAAATCTGGGGACCATTCACAGGCTGCTCTGCAGAATAAAGGGGCAGAGCAGGAAGAGAGCAGCCTTGGTGATGAGAAACAGGAACTGTAAAACTGCACTGGAGCATGGGGAAAGCAGCAAATTATTCTAGGAGCAGCAGAATCCACAGTCTAGTCAGATGGGATTTACATCAATCACACCTGTCAGGGCACTGATATTTCAATATATAACACAATATATTTGGAACTGTCAAGGAACTCAAGTGCTTTGGTGAAGCACATTGTGTCCAGCTTATTCTTCACGCACACAAAATTCCAAACAGGCTAAATAAATCTCTTAGGTTCAAGGAGAAGCCCCATGGCTGCTCAGCACAGGAGAGGGGGTTACACTTGAGTTGTGATAACAGATCTCTTTACAGAGAGCACAGGATGGGCCTATGCTAAGATGCCTTGAGAATTTCTGGGGAAGCTTGTTGCAAACCTGACTGGGCTGAGATTTGAGCTCCAGATAGGAAGGGCTGGAGGGGATGTGGAGCAGTAGATTACAACCAAGTCACTCTGGGGAGTGCAAGCTTTAACCCTGTGTGGGCTCAGCTGCTCTGAACTCACCCGGATCCTCCTCATGGCTGCCACGATCTCCACGCGGCTGTTGGGCCTGGGCACGTCCAAGCTCCCGATGTACTGAAAGACACAACGTGAGATGGCTGGGCTGTAATGCACACCTTCATGGGGGGCTTCTTCAAAACACACAGCATTCCTCCTGTATTTACTCCCTCCTTGCCTGGACTCCTTTGAGCCAGGACAGGATAGGAATATCTGCTGTAGATAATGTTATCAAGTTGGGGATTTCTGAGATTGGGGGATTTCTGATGCTCTGACCTCATTCAGGTTCTGGATGTGCCTTTACCAGTGCTCTGCAGGATGATGTCTGCTGCTAATTGAGTCATGATCCTGTGAGTCTGAAAATGGGACTGTCTATCCTTTGTTCCTCCTTACTACACCTGCTCAAAACTGAAAGCACACAAGAGCTGTAAAGCTTCCAGGATGTGCAGCAAACACCTTTCCTGGGACAGCCTTGTGATTCTAGCTTAAGTTTTCAGTCTGGACCATGTTAACTCTTGATACTGCTGTCCCTGCTTGGTTGGACCAGCTCAGCTGTCTGCAGAATCCTGGCAAACCCACCCAAATCTGTGTCCTACAACCCTGCTTAGGGGAGCTGCAGCCCTAACCAAACTGCTCGGGGTTGGGTGTCTGCACCAGTCCTAGCAGGGTCCCTCACTGGGGTCTGAGACATGGCAGATGGCAGGATCCCATCACCTCCAGCTCCAGCCCTGCACCACAGCTCCAGCTCCTCGAGCTGGCTGCCCGTTCTCCTGGCAAGGAATGGCAGCACACTGCCCGTGCTCCACGGGGTACCACGGAACACCCAGGGGCAGCTTCCTGCTGCTGCATTTGTCCCTCCTGTGCTGCTGTTCTCTCCCCTCGTGTGCCAAAGCAGAACCTGCTGGTGCAGCCGTTGGCAGGAGGCAGCAGCTGCTGCCCGGTGGCACATGGTGGTGGCACACAGTGACAGCACATGGTGGTGGCACACATGGCACAGCACGGCTGCACTGGAGTGCCCTGTGCTGCCAAGGGGAGGAGGCACAGAGCTGCCAGCTCAGCCTTGGCAATGAGGAAATGTGTGGTGTCCTGGACAGTCATGGGGAGCAAAGGCTGCTGATGCTGTGGAGTGCTGTGGCTCAGCTCTGAGGGAAGCCCTGCACGCCCAGGGCACGTTGGGGAGGACAGGGAGAATGTCACAGAGTGAGAGGGTGATGACAGCATGTGCTGGGAGTGGCCCTGGCAGCTGAGGGCAGCTGCTGGATTTGGTGCTGCTGGGGCCCAGTGGGGTCCATCAGCTCCCCCAGGGAAACACAGCCCATCTCTGCTGTCAGTGTGGGGACTGAGGGCAGTTCACAGTTTAGTGACCCTCCCAGGAGCACTGGTTCATGAACTTGTCTGGTTTTTAGTGTGTGGTTACAAACTGTTGGTTTTTTGGAAGTTCCCTTGTGGAGAGGAAAAGGAGCAGCTAATCAGGAGGCCCCTGCAAACATTCAGGGTGATATTATATATGTGAACAGGAACAAAATAATTCCCCAGAACAGCCCCATAGGTTTGCTGTTACTGACAGTTCTGGATTTATTTCTCCACTGTACTGCTTGCAGATTGCAATGGGTTTTATCTTGTAAAATGTCTGCTTAAAAGGGCTTTCAGAGATGAGCTCTCCTGGCTCAGTCTTTAGTGCTCTTTCTCCTGCTTTGAAATAAACACCACAAGCAATCTGAAAGGTCATCTGGCTTTGCTGCTGCTTCTGTAAATGCCTTTGCAAATGGCATTTTTAAGAGCAGTTAAGTTCATCTATAGCATTTGGTAAACCACAGGAGAACCAAGCTCAGAGCACGAGAGCTTGAGGGCAGCAGGGAGGGGAGCAGCAGAGCCAGGGCTTCCCTCTGGGCTGGTGGGGAGGGCAGAGCTGTGTTGCTGTGATCTGTGGCCTCTTTGGTGTGCAGATCTCCCTCCCTGCTCTGCTGGCTGTCAGGACAGTCACTGGTAATCCAGATGAGCTCCTTGCAGCTGGCTGGCCTTTTGTCTGCCAGCAGCAGAGCTGCAGTGAGGAACAGGCCATGCTCCTAATGACAAATTAATTGGGGCAAGAGGACAGATGGGACTGCTGAGCTGGAGGAGATTCTTTCAAACTCCCTGCTCTGGTCTGGCTGCAGAGTTTGGGTACCTGTGCTCCCACACAGAGCCATGAAACTCATGAAACAGCACACAAAGCTCTGCCCAAACAAGCAGCTCCCAGAGCTGACCTCCTGAAGATTACAGGGGTGGAAGGCAGTTTGGCATGTGGAGATTAGAGAGGGAGTGTGGTCAGTAAGATTGCCTGGTGCCAGACACCTGCAGCCAGCTGCAGCCTTGTCATTGTCAGCGTGGCAACTGACTGATGTGCCCACAATGAGCAGCATAATTGGAAGAGACAGACTGTAAAGCAGAACTGAGCAAGCATGTTACTAAGGTAATGCAAACCCCATCCCAGACCCACACATCCTAACAGGGTGTTATCCACTCGCCAGCTCTGGATGCCTGTCAATCTGAAAAGCCAGTTTCACTCAGTTAAAGGTACAGTTGCTACCCATCTTTTAAAAATCAAATTAAGAATTTTTCTTCTCCTCAGCACAGTCTGCAGCACAGCAAATGCTAATTTAAATAGAGAAATCACAGATTAAATGTTTTCTTCCCCAAGGAAGATAAATTTTTTAAAATACATGATTAGCTGTCTATTCAGATTCATCCTGTATCCTGCTTAAATCTTACAGCTCTTTCAGCAGGAAAACCAAGAGGCACAAAATCCGTATTTCAAAGCTTTATTGGAATGTATATGCCCCTTCTTTCCAGCTCAGGAGACAGCAGGCGTGAATTCCATTTCTAATCTGTGTTAGGCCACCTGCAAAGAGGGGAAGGGAGCCTGTGAGTTGCTCCAGCAAAATGCAATTCTTCTTGTCAGCTGAATTATAAACCCATTCCCCATGCTGTCTACAGAATGCCAATTCCAATGGAGTCACTTTCTGAGAGTGCTGCTGTGCTGCCAGGCTGTTCTTCACGATCAATACGGAATTTCTGATAATATCAGTATTTCTTTCTGATGCCTGAAGGCTGCAGACCTTGTCTGGTCCAGCTTTTCATGCAGGGAAGGGGTCAGCTGTGGTAAGGCACTATTATCTGAGCAGCCCAAAGCAGTCTGCTGGTTTCCAAGGGAATAGGGAGCTGTCCCCCCGCCGTGGCAGGACAGGACAGGAATTGGATCGGGCAGGGATGAGCACCTGGGACAGCATCCACGGTGCTGTCAAGAGGGGTCATTCCAGAGCAGTTCCCAAATGCAGCACCAAGGCAGCGTCTAAGGATTACACAGCTGCAAAAACACTAGGAAAAGAGCAAGAACCTGTTTGATTGCGCTCATTAAATGTAAGGCTCTCGTAGCCGATTGCTGTTTTCTTTAGACTCCCCCAGCGTGGCCCAGGGGCACTTGCAGAGCTGGAGAGCAGCCGTGGCAGGGCTGGGGGGGGAAGGCTGGACAGCAGAGGAGCGCAGCCCGCGGGGACCCCGCGCCCGCAGAGACCCGCAGCGCCCTCCCTGCAGCGGCCGGAGCGGGGGAACCTCCCGGGCTCGGCTGCCAGGGCCCCGGGGCTCGGGGCTGCGGCCGGCGGGGCCCGCTGTGCTCCCCGGCCCGGGGGCTGCGAGGGGAGCGCGCCCGGGGCTCACCTTGGCCTGGAAGTGGATGCCGTGCTGGAAGGCCTCCTCGTTGTGCAGCGGGACGCGGGAGTCGCAGCCATCGTCCACCAGGTTGTACCGGTTCTTCACCGGCATGGCGGCGGGCGGGCGGCCGCCTCAGCCCGCGGCCCCGCCGGGCATCGCGGCCGGCAGCGCCCGCCCCGCCGAGCCCCGGGCGCCGTGCGGGGCTGCGGGCGCCAGAGCCCGGCCGCGTTTTGAATGAGCGTCCGCGGGAGCGAGCGGGGCCCCGGCCCCGGCGCGGCGCCATTGGCCCGAAGTTCCCTCATGTGATGCGGGGGGCGGTGGAGCCGCCCGGCCCTGCCCGGCCGCCCCGCCCCGGCCCCGCCGCCGGCACCGGCTGCAGCGCTCGGGATGCTCCGCTGGACGGACGCGAGGGTGATGAGGGCTCTGGGGCATCTCCGTTATGGGGGGACGCTGCGGGAGCTGGGCCTGGTTAGTCTGGAGAAGACTGAGAGGGGATCCCATCAAATCTCCATACAAATATCTCCAAGGGCTGTTCTGAATGAGTGGTCACCCACGTTATGTATGTCTCATGTCAATATAACTTACAGCTCTGTTGGAAATGAGCACAGGCCCTCTCTCAGAATCCTGACGCACAGTCGGTACCCACTGTGTCTCTCAGTATCCTGTGATACTCTCAGGATTTGTGTCACCCCGTGTGCTCACGGTGTTTTCCTCCCAGCTTTGTCTTGGTGACAAGGCGCTGCCAGGCCCAGGTGAGCCCTGCAGATGCCCCTCTGGGACACCTGGCACACCTGAGCACTACATTCCTCAGTGGGTACCAGCACAGGGAAGGGATGAGGTGTGCACAGCTGTGATGGCAAGGCCTAAGGTTTGTCTTCTGACTCTTAGTACAGCCACACTCCATTTACAGGGATGATCGGAAATGTGAATTGTGTAGAATCCAACGGGTGGAGGGTTACTACCCATGTGCACCAATGGATCTCATCTGTGTTCCCTCAAATTAATTTTTGAGTCTTAAAAGTAACTCCCAGCCAGGTGTTTGAATGTTTTTGGACACCACCTTTTATGTGGCTTTTGCATTAGCAAGAAAGAAAAGTTTGACCGCAGGCAGACAGTGCACAGTTCCCAGTATCCATCTCAGGAGCGTGATCACCCTGAGCTTCTTGGCATTTCTGAGTACTTGCAGGTCAGCAGGAGATGGGCAAGAGCCAAGAATCCAGAAACTTATAATTAAGAGAGGGAGAAAAAACCCAAGGAATTAATATTGGTTCACAGACTATGACCCTACATGTTCAAATATTTTGAGGTATTAGCAGCTCTTTCTCGGGAGGGTTCTGTGGTCAGCCTTCTGTTTTTGTGAAGTTTTTCTGTTTCCAGACAGACTTCTTTTCTTCCAATCTATAGCACTGCATTATCTTCTCATTTAAATATTCACAAGTTTATGCTAATCCCACTTTCATACAGCATAACTCAGTATGGGTTTTGTCAGTTGGTTTCTGTCCAAGATGCTCCTCTAGATACACATATCGCCTGCAGATGCATTGGTTTAGTTCTTTGTTGGGGATTTTTTGTGTGGTCTGTGCTGATGTTTAGTGTGTACTTACATGTACTAACATTTCACGGCACTTTTCTTATCTTGTGCATATCTTGATCAAAAAAATATTTGTTGACCTGAATGAATAACCTAGATTTTGTGTGCAAATGTCCTTGGACTGATTGAGCAATGTTCAGGTCTTTGGTTCTCCTAAGCCCAAGGAGGAGGAGATGCCACCCAGTCAGGCTATGCTCATGCTTCCTTTGATGCTAACGCCAGCAAAGCTCAACTCATATGGGGAAAAACCTAACACAGCCACTGGTGAGTGTCTGCATTGATTCTGCAATACTGCATTTCAGCTGAGGCGTGCAGGAACCTGCCATTGCTGAGCTGCTCAAAGCTTCTCCTCATTACCCTCCCATTGCCACAAGAGCATTCCTATGTACGTGGGAGCATATGGACTTCACTTGGGATAGTTAAATTTTTAAATCTCATAGAAAGACCAGGATGAAATAACAAGAATGGTCTTTTTAATTCCATTCTGGTGCTCTCCAGTATCCCGCGGATTATAAAATCCTTTGGGTAGAAGGAAAGAAATATCTCATGGGAATCCTGAGAAAAAGAAGGCAACTGTTATTTAATAAAGCTTGCAGTGCCAGTTTCTGTTAGATCACAATTGAATGGAGGTGTTTAATACTCCCTGTTCATGAACTTCTGTGAACTTTTCATAGGGCTTAAATCTCCTGATGTTAATGGTTTGGATCTGTGTTTGAGAATTGAGTTTGAAGGCTGCTAAACTTAAAAAGCCATTAATTTTCTAGTTTGTTTGTTGGGCAAAGAAAATTCTTTGACTCCACTGGAAGTAAGAAAGCTGTATGCCTTTTCTTCTGGACAATGAAACTGAGCAAATATGTGGAATGAAGCCTTTACACGGGACATCGTCATGGATTTAGTATAAACAAACCCTGAGTAGCACGGAACAGTTGGCCAAACCTCATGGTGGGTGTTTGCATCACATGGAGGTACTGAGAGAGTTATTCCTTTGATGTGCAAAGCACTCACAGAAAGTCCTGATTCTCTGAACACAGTAGGAGTGAAGCCCCAAGACAGCTTCTTGGCTCGGATCCGCAAGTGTTTTTGCAGGGACCAGGTTTGTATCAGCTTTCTTTCTCGGGCACAGGCTCCCAAGATTTCCTTCCTTCTCTTTCTCTCACATGGGTGCACATTCTTGCCTGCCCCAGGACTCTGCATGAAGTCCCTCTTCTTACATAGTTTCATCTTTTGAGGAGACCTTGAACGTGGTGTAAATGGGTGGTGGGTGTTACATGCAGGGTGTTCTTTAATCAGCTCCTTGGTTGGTTTGTAGGGAAGGGAGCTTTTGCTCCTCGCTGATCCTGTCAGATTTTTCCAAAGCCACCTTCACAGATAAAGGAAGAGACCTGGTCTTGATGCCATGGAATTTTCCTCCCTTCTGCTAACCCTTTTAAGCACTTATTTCTGCACAGCAGAGTTGCAGATATTTTGAATGACAAATAAGATGTGACATAGGAAGAGCAACCAGACAAACATCCAGTAATGGCAGACAAAACCTCTTTTACAGGAGAGCCCTTCCATATCACACATAAGAGCTGTGAGGTCTGTGCATGCTTACTGTCCTAGGAGATCTGGGTTTGTCATGCCACTTTATCAACATTATTAATATGTACTTGTGCTGGTGCAATTTTTAGAGTAGAGCTCCAGTGTACTAACACACTAGCAGACTTGCTAGAAATGCTGCTGTGGGATGAAATGTGGGGGCAAGGACAGATAGACCAGCTGCTGTTGACTAAGCTGTGTGATGTTACCCCCTGATGCATTGGGGATTTCAAGAATACCGAGAAAACTCCTAAACAAAATCTTTGAGTCTGCTGAGCTGCTCCATGAAGGGAACTCAGAGGTGACATGTGGAACTGATGGTTTCAGCCCCCTCAGCGAGTGTCACACGTGTCTCTGCGAGCACAGGGGCTGCTTGGTGGGATGATTACAGCAGGTTTGTGTTGCTCAAGAAGAAGCAGAAGCTCCATGTCAGGGCGGTTCAGCTCTGCAGCGTGGCCAGGCAATGTGCCCGTCAGGACTGCAAGCCTCTTTCATGCATGGCCAGCTCCAAAGGGCTGTGCAGCAGGACTTGGCAACCAAAAATGTCATCTACAATTATGCATATTTTCATCATCTTCTATCATGCAAATCCCCCCACCCCAAATATGCAGCAAATGTTTTGTTTGCATATGTAGGTCAACCACAAATCTTCTGTGGTTGAACATAAACATGGGCAGCACGGAGTGATGTATGTGGATTTAAATCCAGGCTGAAGCATAAGCCCACCACAGACATTTTCCAAGTGGAGTCTGCTTGCTAGATTTGTTTTCTTCTGACTTTTTATTTTATAGAGCATTGCTTTCTCATGGATTGTGAAAGAACAACTGACAGGAGATAGCATCGTTGCAAAAGGAATTATTAACTTCAGACACAGATGGATAGTTCTTCATGAGTAACTTTTTTTTTTTTTAACAATAGCTTAAGGAATGTGTTCTTTTTCAAAAGGGTACACTGAAGTATTTATGCAAATTTGCATTTGGCAGGAGGCCAGTTTTATATGATATTTTAAAAAGATGGTATGTTCTTTTTGCAAATTACATGCTACTTTGTTTTTCTTATCTTGGCTGTCTTTAAAAAAGAAAAGTACAGTAAAGAATACAGTTATTGACCTTATGATGCTACATAAAAGCTAAAAATGTTGATCCCAACTTGGAAACAAAAATGCTTACTAGAAGAAGGGAAATATATTAGTAAAGAAAAATGTTACTTGTTAACCTCATAAGCTTGACATGTTCACATGCCCAACTCACTGTAAAACTGCTTTATTCCTGGATTCCTCCTTGGACCTGGCACTTACCTGTGCACACACAGGCATCAGGGAAGTGGTGATTTTGGGTAAATGAGAGTGAAGTTGTTAGTCTGAGAGATGAGTGTCCAATCAAACAGGATCCTTCCCCACTCCCATTAAATTAGGCCAGTGCCTCTGCTGTCTTTGATATCCTGAATTTAATTAATGAAAGCATAGGGAGATTACAGTTCTCCTGGATGGAATCCACATTCTTGTTCACTTATTATCACAAGATAGTAACAGTCTGTTCTTATCAACAACTCCCTCTGAGCAAGGGTCTCAGGAAACAGCCTTGTGTTTAAGAGTGCCCTGTAACTAAATTTCCCCTCTCCTCACAGGGGACAGATGATCTCAAGTTCCCCATTTCTCTCCTGCTGCTGGACCCAGCTTGCTGTATTCAGCAGGATTCTCCTCCTGCATTACCCTGTGCCCCATTGCTGCCCACCTTCCTGTACCTGACTGCCACGTGCAGCCTGACCCCACGCTGCACACTGCAGCCCATCCCTGTTTATCCCAGCAGGAAATGAGGGTTTTATTCACACCACACAGGCAAACCAGGTATGGGATCTATTACAGCTTCTCTGGTAGAGGAACAACTAGTCTGTTATTAGCCTGCAAGAAATGTGGATATATGATAATTAGATATAAAAATAT